GATCTTTAAGATGGGTGGACTTTCAACTCCCAGAATTCCCCAACCAGCACGGCTAGCTGGGGATTTCTGGGAATTGAAGTCCACCCACCTTAAAGCTTGTCACCTTTGAGAAATCCCGATTTAGGAGGTTAGCATGACCGGAGTCACTCCAGAAACAAAACAAAAAAAAAAACCCCGATGGAGTTACTCACGGCTCCACTGCGACTTGCACAAACAAGGCAATTGTGTTGCAACGCACACCCGCACTCCTTGAGACAGTCTCCCCAAAACCAATCTTCCCGAGGAGATGAGCAGATTAAGGGGGGTGGGTGGGAAATGCAACCAGACCGGTCCAACCGGTTGGCGAAACAAAGCCAAGCTACCCCGCATTCCTTCCCGGAGACTCATCCGCAAAGGAACCTCCTTGCAATTAAGATGTAAGTGGCTTCCTTCACGGGAGGCCGTCAGGTTCTCCTGCGTTTGTTTGCTCTCGCGGGTCTTGCTCAACGCCTTGGAAGAGGCTCTGCTTTGCAAAATCTCTGTCAGAGGAGAAGGGGGTTCGAGTCCTGTCCCCCAGGGAAGGGTGTGTGGGCGCCAACACACATGACTTCACAGGTAGACATGATGCATTGCACACCGGGGTGGTTTCCACCACTTCTCCTGTGTGTTTGAGGCCTTCCGTTCACGACACTCACATGTGGAAGAAAAAAAAACACATCTTAAGGAACCCTCCCTCATCCCCTTTACACAAACACACACACACATGTGCACACTTTCTGGAACCTGCGTGGCCAAAACAACACGCACCTCCTGTTTATAACTCGGCCAGTCGGGAAGTGGCACGTCTGGATTTTCAGGTGTGCCGGCTTTCAAGAGGCAGGGAGGCCTCCGTGTGCGCCCACACACACGCACATACACACGCACACGAGACACGCACACAGGGCACCACCAGTGGAAGTGTGAGGGTACAAAGAGGTTGGATTTTCTCCCGTCTTCCTCTGGAAGAGAAGAGACAAGAAGATCAGGGGACTAGAGGCTAAAACGCACAAAAAACGGTTGCAGGAATTGTGTGGGTTTAATGAACAGAGGATTGGAGGGGGACAGGATAGCGGTGTGCCAATATTTGAGGGGCTGCCCCCCCCCAAAAGAGGGAAGGGTCAACTTCTCCTCCAAAGCCCCAGAAGGGCAGGAGAAGAAGCAACAGATGGAAACTCATCAAAGTTGAGAACTTAGAACTAAGAAGAAATTTCGTGACAATTAAAACAATGAACCAGGGGAACAACTCGCCTCTAAAATTGACGGATGCGCCAACAGGCTTTTAAGAAGAGATTGGACAACTGTTTGAAATGGTGCATACATGGTCTCCGGCTTGAGGGGGGGTGGGGGGGTGGGGGTGGACTAGATGACCACCAAGGTCCCTCCAAGGTCCCTTCCCAACTCTGTCCCGTGTTTCTGGAAGGGTCTCCTGCTCGAGCAGGGGGGGGGCTGGACTAGATGACCACCAAGGTCCCTCCAAGGTCCCTTTCCAACTCTGTCCCGTGTTTCTGGAAGGGTCTCCTGCCCGAGCAGGGGGGCTGGACTAGATGACCTCGGAGGTCCCTTCCAATGGTGTTATTCTATTAGGGGTCTCCTGCTTGAGCGGGAGGGGGGGAGGTTGGACTAGATGACCTCCAGGGTGACTTCCAACTGTATTATTTTTGTTCTGTTCTGTTAGGCAGGGTGGGGGTTGGTGGGGGTCTTAAAATA